ATAATGTTATATGCATGCGTAACACAACTCTAAAAATCACATTAAGTCATCAATGATAATTATTAAAACTATGTAGCTTTCATGGCAGCAAAATTATGCAGGTCTTAGTTTTTATTTTTTACCACTTTATAACATATCTTCTCGGAGTGGATCAGTCAACATCCTTGCAAAAAGAATTGGTGCCTGAAAGCTATTATACAACTTTTTAACATAAAATGTGAGAATGCATTAGTGAATAAGACAACTTAATTACAGAAAAAAAAGATATTTTACTGTATTTGCTTTCTTACACTTATATTCTTTATGTGTTTTTTCTAAATAGTAGAATATTTAAGTTTTCTATACCGTTTTTAGAAGCACCTTTTTCAGCTCATAGAGCATAAACTGAAGAGACGAGAAGAACATAGAGCTTGATTTACTGAGCATTACATTGAAAGCAAAGTGACTCCAAAGCAAAATGTCAATTGCTCTTATGGTGCAACTGCTACATCTACAATCATCTTATCCAATATAAGAAAAAACTTCAAATCCTCAGTTTTCTTTTCCATTTCACAGATGAGCGCACCAGTCAATTTTATTTAGCTCCTCATCAAAATTCACATTTTCTTAAAAAAAAAACATTTACACATTTTGTAGACAATTTTTAAAACATGAATACTAAGTTTGGTACATTCTTTTTCTAACAAACTGACAAATTAATGTTTTTCCACCTTTTCGCACAGGTAAAATACAAACTGTTTAAGTTAAAAATTCGAAATACTTTAAAAATCTTAATCATTTTTGTAAAAAACTTTTATAGCATATCTTTTATTCAAGAAATAAATTATAAAATAAAATTTACATCGTTATTAAAATTCAACAACCAAACAAGACAATAAGCCAGAAAAATGCATTTTATATACATCACGTTATTTACTCCTTTTCCTTTAGTACATAAAACACACTATTATTTATTCATTTATTTCTGTTTAACTCACTGAGCCCCTCCCGTTACTGAGAGGGAAAACAGATTATAATATGCCATTGAAATACACACATTTCAAAAAACTTGACTCAGTTGTGTTGCGCATGCATATAACATTATATAAAAGCAATTTAAAAATTACCAAAGATGCTATTATGTTTTTTTTTACAATTAATTTGCATTCAATTCATTTGTAAATTAAAATTAAACAAATGAGCGATTAAAACAGGGAAAACCTGGCATGGTCAGGGAATTTTATTTTAGCTTCAAAAATCAGGGAATAGTCAGAGGAAGGTGCAATTTTTTTTCTCAAAATCCTGGAGAATTCGTATTTTATACCTGGAAAGTAACCAGTCTTAAAATTGTCAGTAACAGTAGTTAGTTATAGAGAATCGAGTTAAACCATTCTAAATCTATTACTATTATTTGCTGCAAAAATTTTACACTTTAGTCAAACTGAAATGTTCCCTTCCTCATTTAATGATATATTTTTTTACATAGAAAATCTAATATTTGCCAAAACAAATAAAATAATCAAATTTTTCTGAAGAAAAATTGAATGATGTAGATAAAATATGGTATTGTTTTTAGCTGTAATTTACCTGAAAAAATTAGGGAATTTTTTTCTGAAATTAAGATACCCTGTTAAAAAGACGTTATGCTCTTGCCTTCAATCCATATCTAAAAATATTTTTCTAAGTATATATTATAGCGAATCTTTTATAAATAAAGTAATAACTGGAAAAGTTACCATCCAAATAAAATGAAATGTAGAAGAATTATCAAAGTTATGTTCCCAAGAACTGGGATGGAAATGATTAAATAAAAAATAAAAAGTTGTCTTACTTTTCTTAGCTGTAACTTTTAAAATATTCAATAAAATTCTGAAAAAAATTTGTTTTAAAACAAATTGTTTTAAAAAATTTTGTTTTAAAATTTGAAAAATAAATTGCTTAAAACTGAGCAAAATATAAGTAATTGAAGCCGTTCTTTTATACAGGGCATGCGCGGAAAAAAGTTTTAGAACAATTTTCATAATTTTAGAGGGAATCATCGAAATATTTCTATTTAATGAGAAAGAGAATACTCTTTGATTTGACAAAAATTCATTTATCATGCTACAATTTTTAAAGTTAATTTCATCAACATTCAGGTTTGTTTGTTTTTTTAATTCGCCTTGAATTTAAAACCTTTTTCAGTTATCGAAATAAATTTAAAAAGGGAAGTCTCTGTTGTCTCAATCATATGTAGCATATGATTTAACCGTAGTGGTAATCCTTCGGTCACGAAATATTTCATACTATGTATAGTCGTAATAACTATACTATTAACCCTTTGCACTCGAGAGTCACTTTGCACTGATAGTCACTATCAGTCACCACTGCCGCCCGTAAATTACCCACCACTCTAATTGTGAATTTTTTTTCCTCTTAATATTTAGTTACCTTTTCATTCAGTGATCACCGGGTATTATGAGGTAAGTTTGTGAAAACTATTTCAAAATGCTAGAGGTTGCGTCCATTTCTTTTTACTGTTAAAAGGACTTCGCGTGCAAAGGGTTAAAAACCTAAAGAAGTGGCACATTTACAGTTTCGCTCCTTCACTTTTATATAATTAATAAGAAAATCTATTAAATATGCTTACACCAGGAAATCTTACCACATTCTGAAGAGAACTTGTTCTGAATCTGAATACTATGTGAGAACTGGAATGTAAAAACAAAATTATTTTTAATGAACTAGTGGGTTGCGCCCCCTGCTCGCTAACGCTCACCAACCCCCGAAAATTGCTACGCAATCTTTTATGATTTGCTTCGTAAAACAAGCTCGCTTCGCTAGGTACTAACTTAGGTACATTGAAAATAGACAAATCTTAAGGGCGAAAGATAAATAAATATTACAGACAAATCGTAAATTTCTTGGAACAGGCGATTAAGAAAATCCTACACAGGCTATCTTTATAACTTTCGGTTATTTTATAGTGATTACAATCAAAGATGTCCGGATCTTTGAAGTTAATTTAACCCTTCATTAAGTATCATAGTTCAAGACAGTATCATAGACAGTATCATGACAGTATCATAGTTCAAGACATGGTTTAAGGATGAATATATTATTTTCTGATTGTGTAAAGCGAGAAAGGAAACAACATGGAGTTTTTGAAACATTACTTTAATCCAATCAATGGAGGGGAAATTTTAAATTTCCAGTAATCATAGAAATCAAAATTAGATTGGAACAATGTAAAATAATTAAAAGTTTCTTCTTTGACATGTTCTGGAATAACTGCAATATAGACCTTGGGCACAATGGGGGTAGGTAAAGTTTTCATAGACTACTCCTCCTCTAAGCACTTCGTATTGAGATCGTCTTACTTCGCATTGTTCTCCTTGTTCTGAATAGAAAAAGGAAGAAAATCATAAATGTAATTCATAAAAAGATTATATGGGCAGAAAAATTATTAAAATCTTTATTTTATTTTTTTTAGAGTTTTTAAAAAAAAATTTCTTCAGTGCTAAGAACAGGATGCAATTTGAATGATAATATATACAGGGAGTGGACAAAATAATGGAAAAGCTGCTATACTAATACCTTTTTTCGTATTACTCAATAATTAATAAATGATTTATTTCTTAACTCCAGAAGTTTTTAGATCATGCGATTTCTCAAACATATCACTGAAGTTTAAAACTTTTTGAAGTTTAAGAGACCAACAATAAAACACAAACTAAAAATAGTGTTTTTCAACACCCTAAAAAATTCAGCTGTAATCCCGTTTTATCCCGTAACTTTAAAACTATTCAATAAAATTTAACAACATTTTTAGAGCATATTAAAATTCACTAAGAATTCTGATTTCTTATCTGACATGCCTTTTAACAAGCCAGAAAACTGCTAAAAAAATGCCTCAAACTCTATAAATTGTTTAGACAATTTTTTTTTTAGTTGCCAATTATGATTAACTTATAACTATTTAGATGAAGAAATTATATTATGTAACTGCGAGGAGCGTAATATCGACATATATANATATATATATATATATAGTTTCCATTTCTTTTTCTTACTTCTTTCTTTCCTTTTTTTGTTATTAGCCGGGAGAAATGCACTTACTTCAACGGATTTTCGAGCTCTATTTTGAGAAAAAAAACTACTGTTCTATGTTAATGGTATAAGGAGTTCATACCACGTCCTGGTCACCAGTGTGGGGAGCGTGATATCGACTCCGAAGCTACCACGAAATAGAATCAAGTTTACATGCCTTATATACCAGGGAATTGATATTTAATTATATTAGTGGTAGTTTAGGTCACATAACTATTTCAATTATGTAATAATTAATTTAATGATCTCTTTCCAGAAAGAGATAACTTACGTAGAACTCTTTCACAAGTAAGACAGCAACTACAGGTTGCAAAGACTGCTCTGTAGCCTCTATTACAATTGATTCTAGAGTCCCTTATGCCGCACACGCTAGGATCGCACTCGGCTGCTGAGCTAAGTTGCGAAATTGCAAGAACTAAGAAAATAGTCATATACATGCTAGTCTTTACTGATGGTTTCATCCTGTAAAAATATAATACATAAAGAATGAAAGAATTTATTAGATTAAGCAGGAAAGAATTTGTTCTATAGGAGCAGAAATTCTCTACAGATTTCGGATTGACATTTTTAACTTTAAAAACTTTGTTTTCACTGTGAATGTGTCCAAGTATTTTTAGCTATAATATATTTTACGATAAAAACTGTCTAAAATAAACAACTGGAAATTTTTAAAAAAAAAAAGAAATTTATTTAAAGAATATTTTTGCTTGAAACAGTTAATAAAAAGCAATGTATGCATCTTCGAACAATCTTGTCATTGGCGAATTTCTTTTAAACTATCCGAATACTTTTGTTGTAAACATTTACCATGATAGAGTCAGAGAGTACATAGCTTTGGGAGCTTTTTGAATGAGTTCATGGACTTGATTTAATGCTTCTGTTGGTCAAGTGGGCATAAGCAACAACAACAACATTTACCACATTTATTTTAAAATACAGGTTAATTTATTACCAATGCAAAAACCAAACGTGATATGTGTGTCGATCATTGTATGAAATTTTAATTTTTTAATTCCTTCCGAACTAAAATCTTTCCTTGCCAGTATTTTCATGTAGGATATAAAAAAAATTCTAAATGCCAACAGATTTAGTAAAACAAATTGTTGACAAAAACCATAAAAAATAAAATACTTTTATTACTAAAAAAATCATAAAAACGTTAAGGTCAAGCTAAATATACATCGCGAATGTGTTTATTTTTTCAGGTACTATTCATTAGCATGCATTCCCAGAAATTCGTTGTTCAAAGCTGGTATTATGGAATTTTGAACGAAACTATCTAAGAAAAATGACTTGATGATTTTTGAAGATTTTAGAATTACTTTTGACCTGCGATACAGAGAGTGTAAACACTGAGTATGTATGTACTGCACACACTGCAGTATTTTAATCTGTATACATTGAAAGTATTTTTGTCTTAATATTTAGTATGAACGTAGTAGAAAAAAAAGTAATGGCCAGATTTACAATTCATTTGTTCCACGAAAAAATGTAAAATATTGTGTTTTTCTCAAACTTTCACAGGATTAGTTTTGTTATCACAATACATCGAAAAAAAATTTATTTTGAAAAATTTAAAAAGCAAGTAATAAGTAGGGGAGAGTGGGGTCAATTGTAACAGGGTACGATTTCGAGTGTCGAGTTCTAGATTTGGTTCCTATGTGGCGCACAAGGTGTATTTAATAAATAT